TATATATCAAAGGATTAGAAAAAGCATTAAATAAATATATTAACAAATTATATAAGTTATATACTATAATAAACTTATATACAATATATTTGTATTTATTGAAACAATTAAATAATTAAGAAGTATGAAATAAAAAATGTCAATAGAAATTTATTGTATAATACAAAAATATAAACAAATCTATTGATTAAAGTCTACCATATTTTGATTACTAATATATTTTATTACGCTTATTATTATTATATATTTTCTGGTAAATATAAAAATACATGCAAAAAATATGTACTATATACATTTATTATGTAACTATTTTATCTAGTAACGTGTTGGAGTTCAGCTCGTATATCAAATTGGATCAGACTGTCAGGACCTGCGAATATGTACGTTTCTTACACTTAACTCAATGTTATGACTAGCATAACTTTCACTTAATTTTAATAAAAACGTACTAACATTATTTCTCCAAAGTAATGTTAGAAAGCAATCATTTCTTATTTCATTTTGATAATTGATTAATAATATTTTATATTATATTTTTTTAAATTATTAGATTTGCTAGTGGCATGGATGAAAAATATAAATTATAATTGTAATTGAATATTCATTAACTAATCAGGAAATATATTTTAATCTTAATCAACTAAGTACCAGTAAAAATATCTCTACAATAACACCATACGAATACAATTCGTTTGCAAGAGATGTTTGAAAATAACTCACTTTCAAGTAGAAGACTTATATATTAACTAAATAAATCATCAATATTATAATATAATTAAAAAATAATTATATTTTGATATGGTCAAATATGGTCAATAGCCCATGTAATAGTTAATACATATTTAACTTTTGGTATTCTTATCCCTTATTTGGTATTTGCGTGCGATGTTTGTCTCGTATTTTCCATTATGCTCTGCATACAAATTCCTTCAAATCCCTTTGCTTTTTCAACCTGGTCGCCAAATCATTAATTAATCCTACGTTTTAGCAATGACAAATAAAGCCTCGGATGTGTAAAAGCATTAACCTCATGTGAAACAAATCAATAGCATATTTATATTATAAATATAGTATTCAAAATCACGACGCAATATAAAAAGAAATCATATTTCAATAAAAAAAACAATTTTTGTTGTTATCGAAACATTATTTTTCCATTTTATATATGGACACATATGCATATTCCAATGTTATTTATGCATCTTTCTAATTTTAATAAATCTATATTTCCTAATAATAATAATTATTATTATTTCAAAAAAAAAGCTAAAAGGTAATAACACATTTGTGATTTTATGTTAGGAGGAACAATACATTGTATAAAACTGAATCAAAGTTAAATAGAGCATGTTGTGGGACCTTAATTAAAGGTATGCAAATGAAAGGTATAAAATATTGAGGGTTGTTGCTTCGTCCAGTTTGAGATTAGAATGGAAATGAACGTTGGGAATTGTTAAAATTTAAAAAGAAGAAAAAAGGCAAGTAGAGCAAAACGAAATAATAATAAACGTAGAGCGAGAACGTGTGTCTGGAGGAATACGAGTGGGGAATTCAATTACCGGAAAACAACAAAGTCCCGGGTGATGGCAGGGGTCGACGAAAACAATGCTATTGGATGTAACCGACGAAGGAGAGGCACGAACAAAAAAAAAGAAGGAAGAAAAAACTAAATAGATAAAAGGACCAGAGAAGCGGAGAAACCGAATCGCACTTCCAGTTACGTATGTTTAGTTAAGTCAGTTAACGAATGACCGTTTGCATAATCAATAGAACGCCCTGGCTTCGATGTAGTTATCCACTCTCTTTCCCCATCGGAGATGGAGTTCCTATCGTGGCAAATTCAATTCTGCGAGATCCTGGAGTGATTGCTAGTTAGTTCGAAACTTTATTTTGTACATTAACAAACGCTGCAATCAGTCCAAATCAAAAGGAACTACAATAGAATGTTCTTAAATAGAATTTATTAAATATAATTAAAGTATTTATAGACTATATGAATAATGATAATCCGTCCAAATCCTAGGATTAAAATACGTAAATAATACGCTGTCATATCGATTGACAAGTGGTTTATATATACTACTAGGCATTAGATTAACACGAGTAAAATACTATAACAGATATAATCTGCGGAATTATGTCACACACGGGATGGATTTTACCTTTTCTGGATTATAAATTATATAAATCAATGAACAATATAACAAACATAAATTAAATTTATCATTAAAGTTTATATGTAACATATACAGAAATATATAATGATCTATATATTATAACTCTTCTTGAATTATTATGAAACAATTTTATAACTCTATCTAACGTCGATGTATAGATTATATATATATTTTATTTCACCTTACCTTCTAGATCAGGGGTAGATAACCTTTTCTAACAGGACGGCATATTTTAGAAATCCGGGAGTTCAGCAGAAACCATTGGATTAAGAGGGTACAGTTTGGTGAGAAGGGAGTTGGTGATTTCTAAAAATTGTTTGAATGGGTTGTATTTGAATGGCTTAAATATTTCTTTGTGTCCACGATCACATTAAAATTGCTTCGCTGATACGTTGTCGACCCCCTGTTCTAGATTATGTATAGCAGAGTTGCCGAATTTGGACTGGCTGCTTCATAACTTGACTTGTATACGGAATTTACACCATAGAGTGTATAAGGAATTTACACCTTGTGGCCAAGATAGATTACAGATCAGTGCTCGGTATAACATAATTAGGAGTAAATTTGGTATTGTATTTATTTTTACAATCTATTCCTGTAAACATTAAATAAATCTTATGGCGGTTGTATTATTTTTTGGTAAACTTTCCAATGGAATATTTTACCATTATTTACTTCTTTTTAATTTGATGGTTGGTTAGTTAACTTCAGTAGTATATTGATCCTCTGCTATTCCACTATTCCTATTGTATGTATCTGCTGCTGTCCTTAATACTATCATTGTCCATCTACTTGGCTGGAGGTCGTCTATATGCTGAACCTCATTCATGATGAACGATGGCCCTATTGCTAGAAGCACAGTTGGAGCTCACAAAGGGCTTGGCATAACCAGGATTCGAACCGGCACTTACTTGATCGTGAGACTTGTCGTTAGATTCGCATGTGAATGGAGCAATAAATAATTTGGTAACTTTATCAAAAACTTTACGATATAGAATTATATCTAAATGAAGAAGACTAAATTTGTTTAACTAATGTCATATTATGTAATAACCAGATTTTAATATTGGTAAATCGGTAGAAAATCAACACAAACACGACTTTCAATTTATTCAATTCTGTGTAGTATTTTCTTTACCATCCATATTAAATATATTTTCTAAATCTATTAGTTTTGTATTACTTGCAATTTCTAGGCTTTATAGCAGTTGAATTTTATTTTATTTTTATTACTGTATTGAGTTTTTTATTTTGTAATATATTGTTGCAATAAATATTATTATTAATTAATTTATTTTACAATATTTTTATGCTATAATCGCTAATAATATTATCTGCAGTTTATATTCTCATATCCATATTCAATATATTTACATTATCTATTTTTTGTTCATCGCTACATTTTAATTTTTTATTGTACTTTAAACTCCACGACCCACCACTGTTAATAATCATGACTGTCCTACCAAAAGCAGGTAATGTCAATATATAGTCACATTTAGTGATACAATACACAAAAAACATGAAAAATATATAAATTTGTTTTTTTCGTATTATTATTTTACTATAAGACTTGGCTTATTACTTATAAAATAGCGCACACATTGTATTTAAATCGCGTTTTGTTCACAAACATCTTATTTACGTAATTCCGGAGAACGGCTCAATTAATATATTTTTTTAATTAATTCAGCTAAATAGAAGTTACGAGGGTGCATTTCGACCTTAAAAAACAATTTGAACTGCAATAAAATGATATTAATTGCATCTTACGATGAGTGATTTTGATGAAATTTCGTACAGTTATTTACAATATGTCAAGTAATATGCTTATTAAGCAAATAGAATATTTTAAATATTTATTATAATTAATAAGGGAGGACAACAAAAATAATATGCGAGGATGAATGAATGCAAGTAGTAGAACAGTTATATATAATCAAATAAAAAAATATTGATATAATTATATTAATAAATAATAAATGATCTACTTTTACACAGGTTTATTAAGCATAGGTCTTTCAGACTTAACCAAATAATTGTATCAATTATATAGACTAGTAACATGACATAACGCTTAGTACATACTACGCAGTAGTCACAAACATGTTTACTATGTAAAAAGGATTTTGTCAATTACGATAAATGTAAGAATTATAAGTAATTTAATGTAAGAAACTAAAAAAGAATATAAATATTTATCTCACATTAACTTCAATTAACTTCAAGGTAATCTTAGATATAGAAAATAGATTATAACATTCGGTACTAAACAATTTATCACCAAAAAACATTTAAATTTTGTAAAAAACTTAATTAACAAAAAATATTAGTGGTTTTAGAAGTCCTCTTAAATAAATCTTATAAACAGCTTAGAAAACATAACGCAATGAAAATGGTAATGCCGGATTTAGCAATGAAAATACATGTACAAAATAGATATAGCTACACAAATGCTGGTAATCAGTGTCATCAATGTCCCGCATTATTATAAACAAGACTAATCGAATTTTAAGACGTCATAAAAATACAAATCAGAAAAATGATTTGATATAGAAAAAAACAATCATTTGTGTTTAAAAAAATAATTTTGTGTAGTAATTTTTAAGAATTTATTTTGAATTTGATGTTTGAGACTGCACTATGTGAGATATTGCTGTATTTATAATATTGTTATAATCATATCAAGATACCGACAATAACATTATATATGCAGAAGTTATAAATAAACAGCAAGTTGTGTATTGAGTATAGCCCCTTGAAACAGACGAATGCCGTTAAGTTATTTTTGTCACTGAAAATCCAGACCTGAATACACATCAGTAGAGGTCGGACGACTGTAGAATATACGTTTCTTCTCCACCGTATTTTAATATACAACAACTTATTCGAATATGACCTTATTGCACCGATTATATTTAATATTCAGTACAGTGGCAGTAATATCCAATAATCCTGTGCATACAATAAAAATAGTGAAAATAGGTAAAATAGCGAAGCCGGATTTGATTGAAATACAAAAAAAAACGCGTATGTGTGGAATCATTCAATATTGCTTTTCTAATCAAATTCCAGGTGCTCTCTTCGACAATGAGTATTCCGAAGCAGAAATCGCATTTCGATTTGCCGTCAACAGATTCAACATGTTCAATAAAGACTACACGCTGAAACCGGAAGTGCGCTACGTTCCGGAAACCGACGGATTTAAAACCGGACAAATAGGTAATAAATAGCAGAAAGTGCAGCTTTTTTTTGTTCTAACAAACTAATCCAATTTGATATACATTTTTGAACTGCTTTTTCAAATGGAATGCATTTTGTGCTCAGTCGCCTTTCCTGTTATATTGACCGACCGTGTCGAATATTCATACCCGTTGAGAATTGCTGAACTGAATGCACATATGGTGTATTATGAGCTATCATCAATATTTACTGGAAATTTAACTGGATCCGGATATTTTTTATTGCATTCCATGCACTTTTTTGTTTTTGTCAAGCGCTGAAGATAATTAAAAAAGGCACGTTACAAAATTTCAGCGTCACCGGTTCAAAAACTTTAATTAATACACTGCGATTTAAATTATTCATAGCTGAAATTAATACAATTTTAGATGCAAATAGCTCAGTTCATTAAAATGTGCGATGCGAGAATATATGTTAAAAATTTACGAGCAAACAACACGACTCAGTTAATTTCAATTTTTGTCATTCGGAAAAAAGCAAGCACTAATTTGAAATTAAAGCATGCATTTTTTATTCGAAACAATAGTTAATTAAAATACGTACCGTTACAAAAATATATACAACGATATTTGCTACATTTGCAGTGCATTTACTTGTCAAATGCGTATTGAAATTAGTCCCTCGAGGCTGCATTAAATAGATGATCCCCAATAACGCTAATTGTAAATAATTATATGTTGCGTTTAAAATAATTTGTGGTATTGCGAAGAATGTAATTGTGTATTCGAATTCGCATTTAAATATTCGGTTTCCATTGGATATCAAATTCAGTTTGACAATTTTGTAAATAACAATTTAGTAATTCTATTGATGTTTTATTTGAATTGCAGTTTGTGAAATGGTTGAGAGTGGGCTGTCTGCAATATTCGGCCCTGTTTCCTCAAAAACAAATGATATCGTCCAGTCAATTGCTGAAACGCTAGAAATACCCCAATTCCAGACGTTCTGGAACCACAAATTGCAAAAAAGTGCAACTTCCACGGAAAGTACTGCTTTCAATTTATTCCCGGATCCAAAATTATATTCCATGGTAAGACAATTTTATATTTCAAACCATTTAACATTACATTAATAACTATTTATTATATCAAGCAACAGTAAATTTTTTGGGAAATATTAATGTCAAAACAAAGTAGAGGAACCTAAGTCACTACAGTAAATATGCATATGTATATGTCTGCAAATTTAAAACATTTTGTTGTCCGAATGTTCTATTTTAACGTGCCAATTCATTTGTTGTTGTTGCTAATAGAAATATCGGTCAATAAATTGAAAGAAAATAAAGCTAATTAAGAAAAAACATTAATTTTACATGTTACCTATTGAAATTTTCTTACATTACCCCAAAAGTTGTAAATGTTAATAATAAAGGGCAATTATTATTATCAATAATATATCTCCTAATTACTTTAGACAACAAAATTTTAAAATATCATTATGTAGTTTGAATTAAATTATTTCTTACAACATTATCTACATTATTTGCCAAAACTTTTTGTTTTCATTTGTTTCTAGGGTTATTATTAGTAATGCAACATCAATAAATTATATCAGGTTTAATAATAACATATTTACGATCATTCACAGTAAAATTATTTTCTTTCTTTATATAGTGTGGCCCATCGGATACAACGGATGTCCGCCTCGCCTGTCCTGACCCTTTTGATAAAATTTTCGAAGACTTTTGCAAGACAGTTGGCTCAATTTCAGTAATTGTTTGTGGTTTGTTAGATATAGAGCTTGGACTTTACAATGGAATATAATTTAAAACCGGCGTACACGATGGGCCACCTAATATAATGTATTTCTACTTTTATTTTTAATTAATTTAGTTGCATCTTTAAGTAATTAAGTAAGTTTAGTATTTTTTTATTAAATCTTAAACTAACTTAAAATTTCGTTCTAATTGCTATTGGTTTGCCTAAATATTAAATAGTTTTTTAGAATTTTTAATGTAATTTGATTATTTCTCTTTACTTTGGCGATTTTAAATTGAGAAGGAAAAGTTCAAAGAAATGCCTTAGGAACTTAGTAGTTATTTCAATAATTTCCGTCTAATTATGGCAAAACTTGGAGTTTTCGTTGGTTTTATTTCTCTCTTGTAAGTATAATGTGCTTCGACCTCATTGCTTTAATAGGGTCAACATCTGGAAAGTTGTCACGAGTCTTTTAGGACTGAAATAAATGAAAACTTTTTATTTCGATAACCAAACATTATTTTTAATTCAAACGTCATTTCTTTATACTAATTAAAAAGGCCATCAATAATAAATAAGTAAAATTATTGATTTTTTAGGTTTCGAATCGAATCAAAAAAGAACTAAACGATGTCTTATTACTCCTTTTTTATGAATGTATTATAAATATTGATTTTTATTTTTCAGGCATTGGCAACTTTATTAAAAGAGATGCGATGGAAAAGCTATACAATAGTTTATGAAAGCGACGAAGGATTAGTCAGGCTGCAGGATATTTTGAAACTGCACAGATCGGATGATGTGCCCGTACGAGTGAGGAAGCTTACGCCAGGAAACGATCATAGGTAAAGCGTGTTCAATGAATAAATGCATTTGTATGAAAGAGATAAAACCGTATTATTATGATTGTCCGTCCGAAGTGGAAGTCTATAGATATTACGCAGTTACCGGCATATCACACATAAGAGATTATTGAAGTATAAATATCTGCACAATACCTCTATTTATCAAAATCATTAAAAACAATATTAATATCATTTTATTATAAAAAAGAGCATTAAAACTACTGGTACAAATTTAGTTATAATATTATCTGAAACTCATAATAATTAACAATATCTGATAGATATTTTGTAAACATTACAACCATAAAAACGAACTATACGGTACAACCTAAAGTTCACGCTTCTCGAAGTCCTCGGTTCCCAAACATATATCCAAAACCTATTATTGATTAAAATTACGGAAAACAAAACACAGTAGCAAATATATATATTAACAAATATGTAATTTTGAATATGAAATATAATTCTCAAATAATGTATGCTCTCTTATTTCTAAGACGCATTATTTTCATGCCCAAGAATTGGTTTAGTTCTTACATGTATGTTTACATACATGTGTTCATAACCAAAGCATTTTTTCAATAATGACCTGAACATGTAAATGTTTTAATACCCTAATGTGGTTTAAAATTTAAAGAAATTGTATAAAAATATATAGAGTAAATTTGAATTTGAAACTTTAGGCACATTTTTTTAAATTTTGCGATATTATAATTCTAACAGACTAAATATGTTGAATGATTCTACTTGTGCTAATTTCCAATACTGTTGATACTCGGTTCCCGAATTATCTTTGCTTTTCTATACTATCTTTATTACATTATAAAACATACTTAATTCCTAAAAACTTATAAAAAATCTGATTATTCGAAATCCAAAACTATTTTCTCAATAAAAATAAACTTACATTTGTTTACTATCTTCAGGAAGTACAAATGTACGTTCCTCATAGAAATATGAGTGTAGAATAATAAATAACATGTCAACAAAGCTTGAAAATACTTTTATATATTATATTAATTAATTTTTATACTCTTAAAAATTTTATTTCTGGTATTTTTTGTATTTAAATATGGTTTTTAAAACATTTATATTTTTCGATTTACAATAAATAAATATACATAATTTAATTACGTTGCAATTACGCTATCCATTGTCACAAAGTCTACAATTACAATTTAATTATAAACACAGCGTATAACAAAAAGAGCAAACTCACTGAATATTCTGGGTTTCATAATATTATATATGTATGATTCGACACTAATTCAAATTTCAAAACTTGCGTTAAGTTTGACGGAAGGATTTTAGAAAGTTCGTGCTCCCTCTTCCCCTAGACATATAATAGAATTACCAATGTAAATTTGATTTGTAGTTAATCACTTTTCGGAAGTGTCCTGGCTTTGAATTCATAACTCCTTGCCAACCAACTCTATAAGTTTAAGGGCTTTTAAAATCTTTATTACTTCTCTCTCTTATTTCCAGGACATTGTTGAAGGAAATCAAGGCGTCGTCCGAGTTACAAATCATCCTGGACTGCGAGGCAGGCCATATCCTCGATATTTTACAGCAGGCGCAAGAAGTGAACCTCATGGATGAGTATTACAGTTACATCCTTACATCTCTGGTCAGTATTTACGGCCCTTGCAATAAGTCCTGTATAATAAATACCGCAAACTAACGGGCTAGAGAATAATAAAAACGTCGCGTGATTTATTAGATTTAAAGAAAATTTATGTGTTCTTCTCCAGCTATGTTTTCACTACAGCCACTAAAGAAAATACCTCGAGTAATCCGGTTTAAAAATTTAAAATTAATGCAAAAACTATTTTTTTGTCAGTCTCTTTTTGTGCAATTTACTTAAAACAAAATTGATTCTAAAAATATGTTCGACGTAAAACGTACCTAAACGTATTTCCCCATAAAAATTATTATAAAATTGATATAATCCTAGGCACAGTGCCTAGGGTGCACGAAAAATAGTTGAATTTGAATTTATACACCCATCATCATCATTTTTATTATTATCCATGAAAAGCATTTCATAAACTCTCAATCAAATAAAAATTCACGAACATAAATGTATGTATAAATTTATATGATATATGATTCTGATAAGGTCCTATTTAGAACTTTACTATTAGTTTGCAAATATAAAATTATATACAGGTACTCCTCATTTTACGATCTATCTGCTTAACGACCAATTGAGTTATGACCTGCAATATGAATAAATTTCAAATTTGATGCATAATTTTATAAAGATCCTATAGTCCCGGTGCAAGCTCTTCACTTATCGACCAATTCGCTTAATGACGTAGATAATAAAATACTCTTAGGAACCGAGATGTTTGAATACTAAAGTACCAATGTATTATGTCAAATAATATCTACACGTATATGTTAATAAATATTTGTATATGATAAGTTCAAACTGTACACTAGTAGAGCAATTAAATCATCTTAATACGGTCCTGTTACATGGATATTAATTGAATAAGGGCACTATTAATTCGCAAGGAAATGATATTAGTAAAGCGTCAATATTAGTTTGTTATTAATTTGCAGCCAATCAATAATACCTGCTGATTGATGTTTCGATGATGATGTTTGCTACTTTGGGGCATTGGCGGCAGGCACGAGCGATATAAATAAATGGCATGCTGCCAGGAAGTCACGATAAATTTCGGGTCGGATTTTTGTGCCGAAAAATTAATTCTCACCGGTCCTCGGCCAATAAATCCAAACTATATTTACGTCCGACAGTTTTCGCGTTGCATTCGGCACAGAAAAAAAATGTACCAAATAGACAAAGGGTTCGGCATAAAAAGAACGTAATAGCCCCACGCTATTACTGAAAAACCGGACCCTTTTATAGAAGGACGCGGCGCATTTGTTCGTTAAATATTTGCGAGTATTCATATGTCTATTAAATAATGTCATATTTCCCATAAAATAATTAATGTTAACAATATATGTAAATATGTGTCAAATAAGTTCCATGATAAAAAATCGTAGAAAAATTATGAATTACTATTATAAATGAGAATTATAAGATGAACATAAGAGAGTTCATATAAATTTATTTAGATTTTTAATTTTATTTAAGCATAGAACCGCACTACAATTGGTATCAGTCCGGTCTTAGTCCGCCTTAAAAAATTCAAAAGAAAGACATTTTTAAATGAAAAAAAAAATAAGTTCTAACAATTTAGTACACACATTTATATTTTCCCGTACTTATAAATTTGTATTCACACTGAAACATAAATATTTATCAGGTATACCATCTGTTATTACATGAAGTAAACTAAATAGCAGTTACAAGGCGATTTATTAAAAAAAGTTTCTAAATAAAAAAAAACAAATAAACCGCAAATATTTTGTTTATAATATTTTTTTTTACAATTTTATGCATTTTTACAAAGTGTACGTATGAACTTTGAGTACGTGTGTACGAACAAAGCGGCTCTTAGGAAATCACTATCCGTTTAACTTCAACGTATGGAAATATTTAACTCTCGGATAACGTAAATAAATTAAATGTAATGAAATTTTACTATTATTTGTTGTCATATGAAACATTTCATTTAAGTATGCAGAAAGGCACCATAAATAGTTGTAAATTCATTGTATATTTAATGAGTAAACATTAATCAATATATTGATTAATTAAATAATTAATTTGTAATTCGAATATTTGACTGAAACGCATTAGTTTTAACTCTAATGGAGTTAGAGGCTTACTTAAGCTGGGATTACTCTTTACTAAGCTGTTATCACAAAGTTCATAATGCTACACCTGCAATTAGTTGTACGGACAGGTACTCTACGATTTTTATTATATTATTTAAAAAGAAATAGATAATTGTTAGTATGTTTTCAGAGTTCGTAGTCATGTTATTTAATTTTGTAAGTATATAATTAATAATATAAATTTAATTATCTTATTGTACAACCTTTTATTTGAATTAATGGATTATTTTTTTGTTACTATTTTTCTGGACTATAAGATAAATTGACAGAATTAACTAAATACTAGTGAATTCTTAACTATTTCAATTTTATTAAGTATACTTTTAAGCAATGGTCTTAAATTAATTTTACACGGCCGGCGATTAAAGTTCAATTGTGTATTTATTATAGTACAGAGATATGAACTAAGCTTAAGTGGACAACTGCAATTGAAGGAAAAATAGACAGAATTGATGGGTTGGGTCTTTATCATTGTACGGTGACCGTATTTTCAATTATTTTATTTACAATAAATTTTAAATGTAATAATTTTTAAGTAAATTAGCTAATATTTTTGATAATGGAAAAAAATGTAAGTTGTATAAATTAATTAATTGTTGTAAACATCAACATTTCTATACTTTCTATTGCATAATATTGTAATTTTTTTTATATCTATATGATTTAAAATAAATCAAAAACTTAATTCTTAACTGAATTTGTTTCTTATATGCAATATACAACTCCATCAATAGTGAAACGATGACAAAAGAAATAACATATATCTTGTCCCCACTTTTTGCTTTGCGCAATACTACATTAGTCCATGTCCTGCGGTTACGCATAGCCCCAATACCTCAGCTTACATGCGCCATTAATCATTTGGATACAGTTCGATGCAATTTACTTTAACATAACAAAGTCTTTTTGTTTGCACATGACTAACATCGAACCGCAAAACTAATTTCCGCACAATTCCAAAAGGAAATTATAGAACAAAGAATTGTATACTAAATTCGATACATGGAATTTCGTATTTAAACTAATATTGAATAAATTGTATCCATAAATTTAACACATGCGCTCCAAATATGAATACTTTATAATAATACGTAATGCAAGAAATAAGTTGCAAGATATAAAGTTGATTTTTATTATTTTTATTGTACTTTTTTGTACTTTAAATTAAATTATTTGAATATTTATAATATAACATTTTAAGATAAAACATAGGAACTAAATATTCATATTAACTATTGAGTTGGTAGGAAATTAATTTCGTTTTTTTACAACATTTTTCATTTATGATTAAACATCAATATATGTCAATATATGTAATAAGATATATATTGTAAGTAGTATTCAACTTGTAGTGAAGATTCGTTTTTAACATATGGAGCTGCACGCATTCATTGCCATTACATACGATGATCTATGTCTGGACTGTTAATGGAAGAATTATCCTTTTAAAGAGCCACATATGCTTTAAAATAGAACTAACGACACTCGTGATAAAAACGAAATTATTTTTCGAACTTTTCCGAAAAATCACATATTTCTGTAATTATTTATATAAATTACAATGAAAAGTAGGATATTTCATACCAAAAATATTAATAATTAAAAAATACAATAAACGTTCAACTTTTGTTAAATTAAATATTACTATTTTTAGATAGAATATTTCCATTCAAAATATAACAATATACAGTGGCAAGGATGTGATAAATGTATCGGATGGAGAGGTTTTTCTTTTGACCAAGTTCAGCAACTCTAGCAAACACTCATTTATAAATGAAGAAAAGGGAAAAGCAAGAAACACATATGCGATAAAAATCAATTTCTATTGTTTCCCCTTTTCTTCTATTACGCCCGTTCTAAATCCTACTTTCATTTTCCTCCTTTCTTATTATTATTTCCCCGCAGTATTTCAATAAGATGAAGATGTTTATCACTATTTATTTCTTGCTCTCAGGATGCCCACACACTGGACTTCCACAGCGTACGCACAACCCAAGCAAACATAACGACATTAAGGTTGATAGATCCAAACACAAAGTATATTAGGAACGCAGTCCGAGATTGGGAGCAAGGATACAAGAGGGGTTCACATTTAAGACCGGAAAAAGTTCTTGTAAGTATAATTCATTTTTTTTACTTAATTTTCTATTTGTATCTAAGATATATCGTTATGAAATTCAACGTTACATCCGTATTTATATATATTCTATTTTTCAAAGTTTGATTAAATTTATATTTTTTTAATATAAATGTGAGTATTATACATTTATCTATTGCTATAGTATTCTGAAAATATTCTAAAAATTGTAGATGTAATATAGTAAAACCATGTTTCTTTTTAAAATCATAAATTAATTTAAAAATAATATCCAACGAAGAAATATTGTGTCAAGTTATAAAACAGAAGTGCTGCAGTCTCAATTATAAAAATGCTTTTATTTCAACTATGAGAGAGCTCCCTCATAGACGATTGAAATCCCTTGAGTATTTTCTTAATCATCCCCGAGAACACAGGTGTGTTCAGATACATTACTCTAACTTTATGTTGGAACTCATAGATTTTTTTCTCATATTATATTATAATGAGTGATACCATATATAATTTAATCCTCACCTCTGTCATCAACTAAAAACGTTTGAAATTCTCCCCCTCGTTATGAATTGTGAACTTTTTTCTAAACAGGAAATATTGTTCTTTATTCCAAATAGTTTGCCGACCCCTATTTGTAATACATAAAATTCCTTTTTCTATTATTATTTAAAAGATATTATGTCAAGACAGAAGTACATTATAAAATCAATACTAATATATAAAATTGATAACTTAAAGAAGATTAAAATCTTTAATTTTGAATTGTGTATAAAATTATATATAAGAGAACTAAACGATATATTTATAATTATGAACATGCTTTTACTTCCATTTTGGTAAAGTTTCCTACAAGGGCAACGTATTCCCTAGAGACTTTTCGTCCTCGTCCCTAAAAACGCAGGTGGTTGGATAACTCACCCTATTTTGGTAGTCGTGGAATTTCTCATATTCTGTAATGAGTACCACATGGTACAGCATCACAATTTCGATATCTTTCTGCATAATTTTAGTTTTCTTGACTATATATGAAATTTTGAAATAATATTGAATAAAACACTTTTATAAGAGTAATTGTAAGAAAATAAATTATATACATTTATAATAGTAAGACAATCTTATTATTTTATTTATTTCTTTGCAAAGTTGTTATTATGAATATTGATAATTATAAAAAAAAATAATTTAAAAAAAATGATATTTAACCAAGTATGAAAGTATTTATAGAGTGTTTTGTATGTGCGGAAAGTGTATTTAATCTTAAATAATCTTATTTCGGCAAATTGAGAATATTTAAAGCAAACCGGGTGAAATATATTGGAAATAACCCTCCTGCTTATCATCTATGTACCCAAGAAAAATATTGTATGTTTATTAAATAAAAATAAAGAATAAAATATGTAATTTAACATAACTTCATTGGCGTTTATATTTGTAAATTTTTCTGCAATTCTTTGTAGTTTAATTTTTCAAACTAAAATGTGGGTATTGGAATTGAACTCATTTGGAGAAAAATTGACAAACATTTTTAGGATTTGAGTAGACCGCGTTAATCGAGACAACGTTTGGTCTTACTGTATATCAATTTCAATACTATTTTTATAATGACACGATTCAAATATTTAAATTAATCTTGAAATTTCAAGCAAATCGAATGCGCGAGTAATAAAATTAGAATCGGTAGGATTAATTTTTAGGGATAGATTACTTGGAAACGGTCAGTAGGAGTACGAGGGTGTAATTAGAATACAACGAGAATAGTCGGAAAGCATATGTGTAATATATCTGTCCAGGGTCGATTCCAAACGATTAGGTTCACCAGAAACCGCACCATATAATCCCTGAAACATCTATCCCCATCCTCGAGTCGGTATTCATTAGAAAAGCTAATCAATTCAAACACTTTCCAATTATAGCTTCGAAAATTTACCATCCTCCATTATCCGCTAAATTTTCTGGGCAAGACCCAAAATTAATTATCGATACATAATACATGAGTTAGAAAGGGATAGTACCATATGTAGGGTTTAAATCTATTTCAGAAACTGCTTGACCTATTTAGCCCTTTCCAATCACCCTTCTAATTTATTCAGAGACGGAAGTAAATCGCTGCAGCGGAAATTTCAACTAGATATATATATATATATATATATTCGTAAAGTAAATAGAAATGAACAGTTTTTAGTCTCGGCTTCTGTGAAGATGCAATCTCTCGGAGGAAACGTCTTAAGGAAGGAAAGAGAGTGAGAAGTAGGAACAGCACGGAATTAAATATTGTGTGTATATTGTGTGGACGCAATTCAAATGGGAAACGCCGCGTGTAATTCCCTGATATTATTTCGCAAAAGGAAAAGGCAAAATAACAAAGTATATATATATACAGTATCAGGGAAAAGGAAGAAACGGAAATGCAATGTTCTGTTACAGTGAGAACTCGTCTGAACTTAATTTATTCGGGTGGAAATCTCCTTGGGCCGATTGCTTGCTTAATTAATTACACTTATAATTATTAAACTCGACCAAGAATTGCAAAATCTCCTATCTATTTTATTAAGTAATTGGAGTGGAGAAGTTTTAATAAATCCCGTTTTCTTTCTATTTTTTTTCTTCTTTTAATTGCTGCAATGAATGTAATTAAAGTTTCAAGTGCTCTAGCTAGAGTGGAAGAGTTCAAATTTAATTGGGTGCAGTTTGATGTAAAACTTCTTACCATACGTTTTGTGCTCATTATTTAGAAATTCAAGAAACAATATAGATTTTTCGTTTTCATTGATTTCATTTTTAAAAAAGAATTATTTTTTTTATTGTATGTTCTTATCTTTTTTAACTATATTTGTGAACCTTGTGCGATATATTTTGAATATAAAAATGTTCAATAAATAATTGACTGGATTCTATATAGTTAGATTAATGCTTCTATATAACTCAATTAATTGAAAATAAGCAATTTTAAATTATGATATCAATTTGTATGTAATTCTGGCCATTGTATTGTTTCCTTAACAAAGTAATTTTGAAGAACGCTTCGTTCGATAATTGAGGTATGATTGTACTTATAATGTAGAAGTGTATTAATATTTCATCAAACCAATTTGGTTTCAGTGTTGTTGAGTAGGCCAATAGTTGTATGTTTGATTTACTGGCCGTACCCCACAATTGGATGCCATACGTCCATAATGGTTTCAATCATCATCAAACCAATAAATATAAATTATTATTAAAAATCTGTGAATCTTATAAAATCATATACAGTAGTTAACTTTTTAACTCAATATTATTGTTGTATGGAAAAGTTAAATTATGGTTATTTTATATTTTTGCAATAAATACTTTTATTACAATTATCACAGTTTATATAAATTGAATAACATAAATTAAAAGTCAATTTATAATAACCATAATTGATTCATATAGAATGGCGTTTGGGTCACGAGCTTCCAAGTAAAATAGATTTCATTAGTGTCAGGTTAATGTATATTTTATGTTCGTCCTTAATTGCACTTAAATATAATATTTTGATTTCAATTTTATAACTATAAATCGACATGAATTATTATTTAATATAATATTAAATCTAAATAAAAGTAATGAATCAATGATATATGCAAAATAAACTATTTTCTTGATTGAGATCTAATTAATTAATATTATTACTTACTAGGCGAAATGTTATATTTATGTATATAGTTAATTTGACGCATTAAAGGCAGTGCTTAATATAGCTAAAGAAACAAGAGCAGGCACCAAGAGCAAGAGAAAGCTCTACGCACTACTGACGCTGGACGTCAGAAACGCTTTCAATGCAGTCACATGGAAGACCATCAAACGAGGAATTACCTCAAAATAATTATAAGAAGCTACCTCAGCTAGCGCTCCATAAAGATCCCGAGCACCCAAGACGAAGAATAAATGCTAATAAATAGCGGAGTGCTAGGCCTTCACCTATGGAACTTATCTTACGACGGAGTGCTAAGAATTAATCAACCTGCAGACATAACTGTCATTGGATATGCTGATGACCTGGCAGTAGTAATGGTATTAAAGACAGAAGAGGAGGAACTCACTGAAAAGGCAAACTTAGCCACATGCAACATCCAGAACTGAATGTTAGAGAGACGCTTGACACACGCGCCAGTACAGAGAAGAAGAGAGGATTTAGTGCGGTAAGAATCCCACAGTACCATGACTCCACCCGTGTTGCCTATGTAAGGTTTCCTCTCTACAAAAAAAAATCATAATTAAATTTACATGTTTACTTAACTTAAAAATTTGAACCATTTTCTTTAATTTAATTTTAATTGGATATTTAAAGTATATAACAATTCTATACAGTTTATTCGAATAAGATTAAATGTTATGATTCCTTATAATATAAACTAAAATAATTGTTAGACCCCTTGTTTACAGCATTTATGTTATATATTAATTATATATTCCATGAAAGTTTTGTATAACATTTTGTATGGTGGATTCCTTGTAAATCTGATCCAGCATTTACTTAACAAATATCTCCAGTACCTCCATTGGTATTTTTCTTTTTTTTTAACCGTTTCCTCCAAAGGTTGAGTTGAAAAAAGAAAATTCGCATTTCATTTCATGTACTGACAATGTATTGTATTTTCGACACATAGGTTTTCCGGATTATCATTTCTACCACTCCAAATTCGCGATCGTTTGATAAGAATGATTGTCTTGACAATAAAAATTTGTGATCATTGATATTTATTTTATTGTTATTAGACTGAACAATTTTCATTAAGATCAACTTTATATTTCTATTTTGTCACATCCTGCAAGTACTGCAAATTGCAAGATGCTATTTCTTGTGATCCCATTATGATGCTATAGTTTTACCTCAAACATACATATTAACTTGATCATTTTGAAAATTGTGGAAGACATTAATTCAATACATAAATATTGCTTTTGTATATCAAAGGAGATTGCAAAATATTTTCTAGCCAGTTTGGCATTTATCAAGTAAATTTCATGTTGTTCTGTCAATTCTGTTGCTCTTGGATATTACAAGAAGTTATAATTTTAATACTAATCATATCGCATTTTTTGGCAGGTGTCTTTGTGTGGATGGTGGAAATGCAAATTGAATTGTGTTTTAAAAGTTATGATATACTTATTATAATTCTAAATTCTGCCGTAATAAAAATAATTTCAAACTAACATGAACTTGCTCCAGTTTCAAAATAAACATGTTTACAATACCGTTAATAGCTAAAACTTCCATCTCTATAAATTATTTACAGATAAAAAGATGACTTTTATATATAATTATCATTATCTTCATTTTTATATCATATCATATTATTGATGCCAATTAATCATAAATTTATATTTAGTAACTTGTCCGAAGTTTTGCGATAGAACTAAAGCAAACGGAACAATTTTTCAAATCATAAATAAATCCAATTATCGATTTCCCATTTATTTACCGGCAACATTTTATTTTCTCGTAAATAGTTTGCTTCTCGCGCCAGCCATTACTTTCTTTTTGTATCAATTCGTGTTCTCCAATCATAGCCTTGGCTAAAATTGAATTTCAATATTCGAATCTAAGTGTAGTTTCTTTTTGCAATTTCGGTATACGCAAATTGCTTTAGTGTTTCTGTTTGAAGGTCTGTCTGCTATTTCATCTGCACACGAGTAATATTGATCTTTTTTTTGTAAGATACCTAGTATTTATTTTATGTGAGAGCAGCATTGTTTTCTTTGAAAAACGGAAATGAAGTGAAAAAATATTGTTATTTATTTACTATATGTATTCAAAGTAAATAAAATAATTGGCTAAAGAAAAATAATATTTTCAATATTGCATTTTCTTACTTTATATATAAACATATAAATAAATATATTGTCTTTAATTATTATAGTATAGACTGAATTAGTTATAAATGTATACATTTAATTTAACATAACCAATTTACAAATTATTGTACTAAATATAGAATATTCTTGAAAAAAAAAATAGAACAGATTTAACATGGACTAATAAATATATACAAGTAACAGATTACATACTTTAAAAAAATAATTTTTAATAATTATTATTTCTAATTATTTCTCAAGGTAATAAAAAATCATATCGATTAAATAAAGCAAGCTAAAAATAAAGAAATATTATTACATAATCACAACAACAAAGAATTGTATTTTATGTGCAGAAACTAAGTAAGAAGCTATGGCATTCTACGCTCCAGTATACAATGGGCTTAGTGTGCTGAAGTGAATATAAAGTTAAAAATTCTAATAATTGATATTAGAATAGAACTCATATTTTTTATTCACATTCTCTATCGCTTTTTTTGTAAATTATGTATATTACACCTATCCCCCGATTACCGTGTAAATAGGTTCCTGAGAAAAACGTGTAACTTTTTGAATGTAAAACTGTACTGTGTAAAATGAGAGATTGGTGTATGTTGAAAATATAAATTTAAGGTAAATCGAAAAGAAATGTTCTTTAATTCGACAAAAAAATATTTTAACAAAAACTCTACAATATTATTCTGATAAAAAATTATTATTTATTATGCTCCTCCACATATGCAGTTTTTTAATCCCTCTTTCCTAAAATTCACTTCAAGTATTTGTATTTTTTATGAAGAGAATGTTCTATCGACTTTGAATGGTAATTGTCCTAAGTTGCAATAACAGGTACCAATAGCTTCTTATGTATTGTTTTATTTGATATTGCTGAAATATCACAAAAATGTTAAAGTAATATAAAATTTTCATAGAAATAAATCTAAAAATAAACTAACTTTATAAATAGACATTTATTTAAATACATTAATTACAGCTTATTTGAAGTTTGAATAAATCTATATATTACTGTCTACTGATATTTATTGGTGTTCAAGCGTAGTCTAAGGATAATACTTGATCGGTGTTCATTTGGTTGCAGACTAGGACTGCCCTCCTGTACGATGCCGTAAACTTTTTCAGCACCGTTTACAAAGAACTGGATGCCACAGAAAGCATACACGCTTCCCCATTGAGTTGCTCCAATCCATTGCCATCTCAACATGGAATTCGATTGTCCTCCTATTTGAAATTGGTGAGGATACTTACAGTTAAACGAATAACAACGAAGAACAAAATTCAATTTAAAAATAAAGCAATACAAATGCCCACAAAACAAACATTGGAAATTTCATCTGCAGGAATAATTACGATTTGATTTAACCATCTGGCCCGACCAGCGTAAAATAATTATTTCGGTTTAATTAATTTTCTACGGTTTATTTTTTAACAATTCCCTTGCCGTCCCAAGAACCGCTTTATTTTAGGAGTTAATTAAAATACTTTCCTCGTACATTTCTAATTAATGCATCTTCTCTTGCTCTTTATTTATGTAGACAATCAAATTGGACAAACATAATATTATTATTATAAATATTAATTTTAATTAATGTTTTGTACGTCAGTTTAAAGTTTTACGTCCGTGCTGCGTAATAATAATTTTCTGTTTTATATCATGGAGGGCGATTTAATATTCAGGTCTGCTTAAATGAAGTCCATAAAAGCTGAAATGTTAGGCAGCGTTGTGCTTTATTACATTTGTTACTCAAGGAATTGATGAAAATGCGGACTAAAATCTGAGTGCATATTATTATTATAATAATTTACTACTGAAACCACTGAATATGCAATTTGGAAAACATATTTTAATTAAGTATTTTATGAAAAAAATATTATACAATTTATCTTTCAGTGAATAGATTTCATTATGATAAATATACTTAACTATAAGAATAACATGTGTAGTATGAAAACAATATAAGCATATACAGAAAATTACTAAAATCGATATTTATAGACATTTATTTTACTTACAAAGATATTTTAATTGTAATTAAAGGAATAAAGTCAAATATTTTCTAACATGTTCATTTTCCAGTCCCTTTTAAAAGTATTATGGACAATAGTGTTTCTAACACATGTGAAGTTTTTATGAAATTTATCACTACAATTGACTGTATGGTTGATTAATACTGTGTTTAGTTGATTCTTTTATTGATTAATCCAATGACTGGCTGAATTTCTGTTTAGCTGATTTTTAGTAGTGTAAGATTTTTTGATTACTATTAGTTTGTACATGCAATATAATAAAATTTTCAGAGCCTTTTACATAATGGTACATTGGCAATACCATTATCTGGTCCAATAGTATTGGATTCGTCTGGCAGAAGAAAGAGTTTCGACCTTCAAATTGTTGAACTGAGCGGCGATGGCGTTAGGAAGACGGGCACTTGGAACTCGGACCGTCCGCACCTCATCAATTTTACCTTCACTCAGCAGGAAAGACAACTGGAGATCGTGCAGCAATTAAGCCAGAAGGTCTTCCGAGTTACGTCTAGGTAAAGATTAATTATATTCCAATAGTACATACAATACGTAGAGAGATGCAATGGAAAAGAAAGAGTAGGCTTCACTAATTTGGATCGTAGATTGGGAGCACCGTATGTGATGTGGCGCCAACCCAAGACCGGTAAAAGGTTCCATGGCAACGATCGGTTCGAGGGGCATTCGATGGATCTGATTGCAGGCATTGCTGAAATATTGAACTTTACATACAAATTCGAACTGGTGCCCGACAACAACTACGGAAGCTACAATCCAAAGACTAATGAATGGAACGGTTTAATTAGACATTTGCTGGATAGGGTTTGCGAAATATCAATGTCCCTTTATTAATTCAATCTCATTAGAGCTTTTATTTCAGAAAGCGGATTTGGCCCTTTGCGACCTAACCATTACTTACGAACGAAGAAGAGCTGTTGATTTCACCATGCCTTTTATGACTTTGGGTAAAATAATACTTTTATTATGTTATAGTAGCAACTATACAATTATTTTATACAGGTATTACCATTTTATATAGCAAAGCTGTAAAACCTCCTCCAGAATTGTTCTCATTCATGCAACCACTGTCTTTTGACATTTGGTTATACATGGCTACAGCGTATCTTGGAATATCTATCATCATATTTGTTACTGCCAGGTAATTATAATAGGACTACTCTTTATAGAAATTTAATTTACAATTTTTGTTTATCGTGACTTTAATGAGGAAATGATGTATATTGTATTTAAATTAAATTACTTATTACTGTTTCTCACATTTCCTCTTTGTTATAGATTCTAACCTCTGGTTTATTAATGAAAAGTTGATATTTATTAATAAACTATTTAAGTACACAATATGGAAAATATTCAATACAGATATGAAAATAATACAACTTCTATTTGTGTCAATAAGATAATGATCAATGCTCTTTCAGCTTTTAAATAATGTCTAAGGAAATCAACTAATTAGACTAGTCTTGATCCAGTGTGTAATATAGCTTTACACATCCAGTGCTTTAGGTTTTGTAATACTTGGTAATATTTTCTAAAATAACAATAAATACATATCTAAAATACCTGTATGAGTTGAAATCAAAAGTAATGTAATAATACCAATTTAATCTTAAAGTAATACATTCAAACGTATTATACTAATATCACTATTATCAAAAAATATTAAACAACATATTCTTTCTTGTTATTTATAATATGAATTAATGTATTTTAAACAGAATTTTAATCTATAGATCTATTATTTCTTCTTATTAATTACATATCAATATGTTGTACTATAAAAAAAATAATAAATTAAGCGTGAAATAGTTGATAAATAAATAGAAACAATAATATTTATTGAACGAATAATAATACAATAACATATAAAAATATAAACAAAAAATGTAATTAAAAATAATTTACATTATTCTAACTAATTATTCAATACGTGGATACTAGAAAATAGACTTATTTTTCTTTAAAATATGTTCTATATTCTTGTTTATATTCATTTTCTTAACATATCTTTTTTTAAAGTATTTAAAAATTATTGCATTATATTTTGTATTTCTTTTAAGCATCAACATTTTTAAAATCTACATGGAAAAAGTAGATTAATTTGATGCGAGATTTCTGTCAGTGAAACCTTCAAATTCTACTGTTTAATTTTCCAAACTTTTCCAACAACGGGACACTTGGTAAATCTTGTAATTTTCACGAAACACCTTGTTTATTTTGTGGGCTATAAAATAGTAACAATTTAATTTAAGTTTTTAACGGAATACCTATTAAACTTTCGCAGAATATCAAATTCGCGGAATATAGTTTGGGAAATCCTCGTCTAGTGAATTTTTTAAATAGTTACTCTTATAACCCCGATTCTAGGGATTCACGCATTTAATTTGGAGACGATACTGAAAACCACGATAAGAATTATTGGGAATTAAGTAATTCTTTACCTATTTTAAGTATTTTTTCTACACGTGATAAAAAAACAGCTTTATTGAATATCCATATTTAAAACTGTGTTTACGCTAAACCTTGTTAAAGAATGCCGTGTTGTAAGGGAATTACGTATGTATATGATTTATGTAACAAAAAATAGTGTATAATTGTTAAAAGTATATTTGTTAGTTTGCCAATAATTAAAAAAAAAAATGAAAGAGAGTTTTAAGTGCATAAAAGCAATCATTTTTGTTTCAGGTTGGCGCCAGGTGATTGGGAAAATCCGCATCCATGTAATGAAAATCCGGAAGAGTTGGAAAATATATGGGATATAAAGAACTGCCTCTGGTTGACGCTCGGTTCACTCATGGCCCAAGGGTGCGATATCTTGCCCAAGTAAGTGTCTCTTCTTTATTTTTCTGATTCCAAGGCGAAGATGAAGACGAAGAGAGTAAGAGTCAGAAGTCTGCGTGTATATATGTGTGTGCGCATTGAGATGGCGGTCATGAAAGTCGGGAGAGTGTATGTATGGAGAGGTGCGTGTCGGCTCGGGATGAAAGAGTTCCGAGAAGGAGCGCGTGCCGAGCCGGTCATATGGTCATAGTTTATGACACGCTGACCGCTTCCTCTTCAATGATCGCCGCTCAAAGAGGCCGCTACACTTACCTTCGTCGCTCTCTCTGTCTTGCTGAAGAAAGAGCGTCATCGCTGATTATGCTCATTACTTACACAGACTTGTTAGTAACGCCAGGTAGCAAGGAATATTGGCGGGGTCATCTACTCTGATCTATAAAGCCGGCCGATCATCTAATAACCATATAAATAAAAACAACAGCAGAAGCAACAACAAAAAAGGCACAATGAGCATATGAAATGCGTATATATCGTATACGACGTATGGTAATTAATGGAAATGAAATATACTAGCCAATTCGTAATTATTGATATTAAAAATATCTCTCATACACGTGAATGCAATTAAGGAATAATTTTTTTAGTACAACAATTTTCATATTTACGACATGAAATACATTCGCGTACATTTTAATGGAATCTCGTTAATTAAGAAAACTCAGACAATATACAGTTTGAAGTCACTACTTGAACTTTATATATTATTAGCACTTTTATTTATAGAAATACTAATTCATATGCATATTCAATAAATTATAATTAAATATATTTGTTACTTCTGATATGTACACATAGTTAATTTATAGAATGTATAGATACATTAATTACGGATAAAATAGTTTATAAACTTTTTAGTATATTATCGATTAAAGTCGGTTCAAACTGCAAACAATTCAAACAACGATAACTTTCGGATAACCTTACCTTACCGGTTGATTTTACTTTAAAGCTAGTGGTGTGTAAGAAGTTTAAGCCGCTTTTTAAATATATTAACATCAGGTCTATGAACGGATTATGTCCATTGACCTATCTCTCACTGTAATACAAAAGTACGCAAGTTGTATATTACATTAATAGAACATTGAGGCATTATTCTTCACAGAATAAATAATTTTATATTTTATAGTTAATCTCATCTGATACCAAATTTGAAGTATACAATTTCTAAAAAATAAGGTATGATACGAGAGAGAGAGAGAGAGAATATATTAATTTCATACAAGTTGTATGTATTTTTAAAAGCAACATATCAAAATAAAATAATATACATAAATTATTTTGGGCACCAATTTAATTTTTTTTTACTATGTGGTAAATTTAATATAATTAACACTAAGTTAAATATTACAGACAAACACTATCGAGTTTCTAATCTATAAGACAATTTTACTTAATGTTTTAAATGTCTCCTATAGAAAAAAATATTCTTAAATATGTTTATTAAATTATGTTAGTAATATACATAATGATGTAACATAATGGAAATTATAAACCACTCAAATATATTAAAAACGTTTGGTGTAATCGTGTAAAATCAATGTCAAAATTGTTTAAGAAAGAACTTTGTATATGTTCTTTCTTAAACAATTTTGGAAATATTGAAATATTGTGCTACTAAAATAAACATATACATATATTTATATATGTTTTTCCGGTATTCTATGAAATACCTAGTTATTTCTTGGTATACCGATCTATAATGGATAAATTGTAGCATATTTTTGTTATTTGTTAATTGAACTATTTATTTATTAAATAGACGGCTCGAAGATTATAATTTGAGAGATCAGTTACTAATTAAAAAAAACGACTTTTCATAAATTAATATTTTCGAATAAAAATTTTACGGAAGTAAACAAAAAATAAATGTAAAATTTTGGTATATAAAATAATTAAACAATATTTTTATCACAAAGAGAAATTAATTTAATTATACAGTTTTGTGTCAATAAGGACGAACTACAATATTATTGCTATTTGCATGACACATTCTTATTATTACCTATCAACTTACTAAAACATGTATTTAAAACTCTGTATACAAAAATCTCAATGAAATTGAAAAAACGAATAGTTGTTCCACCTAGATATCAAACTAATATTTATTGCATAACTAATTGTAAACGACAATTCTACCTAACTAACTAATGAAACATTTTATTCTTAGATAAATAAAAATAAATACTTTGAAACTTATTTAAAAAAGTTTACTTTTTTCCAAATATTCATTCATAAAACCATGAAAATAATAAATGACTATTATCAAGACATAATAGTAAGACAAGACAAGACGTAATATAAAAACTGGCATTACTTTTATTTATTTTTAAAAATAAAAAACATTACTTATTACATAACAGTATTTCCATGCATCCATTCTTAATATATAAAATAAGATAACAAATAAAGTATATATTATTTAGAAATTATAATGATTAAAGTGATTGTAAATTTCTAAGTTTGAAGCAATTACATAAAATTATAATTCTAAAAAAGGACATTGTAGATCATTGTTAGATGAAATAATAATCCGCCTGCGTGTATTTAGTATTCACAAGTACATGTGTTAAGTATATTTCAAATATTAACCAAAAGCAAACACTTCCAAAACCGAGAAGCTCATCGTTGTTTCTTTTTTTGTGTTGTTTCTCTTTTTTTGTCCTCTCCTCTTCTTGTTTTGTTTTTCGTCCAGCGCGTGAGCTTTACGACTTCTGATTTGGGTTCGACGCCGACCAATCCCTTCCATCGCCTCTTTTTTCTTTCCACTACCCATCACCATACACACATTTCTGGCATTCCAACATTTCTTTACGTCGACCACTAATAAAATTACCAATTAGTCCAGTTCGAGGGAACTATCCGATCGATTCTTACATAACGGCGTCGTCGCTGCCCGGAATTCTCTCCTTCATTTCGGGCGAAGCATACATAAATATGTTTGCTTTTTCGCTGACTCCCAGATGATAATTCCGACTTATTCATGGAATCCTTTTTAAATTCCAATTGGGTAGCTGTGATAAGACCTGTCGCAACTGTTTCATGTATTTTTTTCTTCTTCTTTTCTCCTTTCTGTATCAAGGCACCGCGGAAATTGATTCATTTCGGACCTTTTTTGTTCTCACTTTAACAACCGAATGAAAATAAACAAACAATTTAATGACGATATATTTATGTTCATTACCAAAATAACTTTATTTTAATATTGATTGTATAGTTTTACAATATACTACCATTATATTACTTACAAATTATACATTAAATTAGTTTTATAATAACAATAAATATTGTTCTAAAATTAAAAGAGAAAAACTTAACGATTTTTACTTTTTGATAATATGAAAAAAAAACACTAAACATTCCGACTATCCAAAGTTTTTTTTAATTTGTCATCATATTTATCCTTATTTTTACATTATATAATTTCAATAACTAAATGTAAGGATCGGCTTATAAGTATTATATTATTATATAATAATAAAAAAAGCAAATATAAAACTGATAAACATCCTACTTTAATATATATAAATAGCAAATGGATATTAAAAGATTTCCCAAGTATTTTAGTTATATTTTAGAAATAATCCAATTATACATGGTATTTATATAAACAGTAATTATATTTTAATATAATCAAATAAATATCACTGTTTGTATGTTTTGCTTAATGTATATATAATATAATTAGAATTGTAATATAAATACAAATAATATTTTTTAAATAACACGTAAAATATTGTTATTGGTTCCTGTTTAATTAGAACTTAAACGAAGAAGAATAACATAGAAAAAAAATCAGCTTTAGACCTACTAAATAAATAAAAATAATCATGAGAATTATCTACATTTCGACTGAATTATCTAAATTGGAAATATAAATCATAATTAATAAATAAAATAAAAGCTTTATGAAACTTAACAGACTATTTATTTACTTGTTATTTGTGGGTATTTTATGCAAAACGTCATTAAAAAATGCATTTATACTAATTAACAAATTTTCTGTTAAATAAGAATGATGTAGAAATAAAAATATAAATAAAAATAAAAGATTTTTTTAGTTTGACTGTCAATTTTTTTCAATAATAATAAAATATCATCATTTTTCATTTAAAGTTCTTATTATAATAATCTGATTGTATACATTCACTATCAGAGACAAGGTAAAAAAATTAAATATGTTTTTAATTTCCTTCTTGATTTATTATAAATATTTAATATATACAGTGGAACCTCGCTTAGTGTTGTTTGTGATCACACATATTTCCAAACTTGTGATCGAACATGTTATTTGCCGAAGAATAAAAATAACCATAGATATGAAAAGCAAAATCATTAAAAACGAAAACAACTTAAACTTTTTTTAAACATGGAACTCATATTTTACATTAGTTTGTATGGGGAAAATTGTTTCACACTATACGAGTAAAATCCGGAAATTCTGGGATGAATTACGCTTGTACGCGAGATTCCATTGTACAACAATATTTATAATTTATTTCTTTTACAAATCTATTTGTTTCTATAAATCCACCGTAAAATAACAAGTTTTTATTTTCATTGTTTTTTTTTCCAAAAATTAGCAATCCCTTTTGCTACTAAACAAACATACTAAATTGATATTTCCAATAAGCTTTTCCTTATAGTAACACGCCGCTTTGTTTATTGACCAACAGAATTCCATGTAAAGACTACCGTAGAAACGCTTATGTCTATTTGATCAATCCACTCTCTTGAAACGCATACAAGCTGGATGTTTGCTTATGGACGTATTAGAAAATACATTAATGAACACCGACGTCAGTTTATTTACTTTTATTCCGGCTACTATTTAGCAATAGCAAATAACAAAATATTGTACTTAAATATAATATGTACCAAATTAACAAAGAGATTTCAATCCATTTTAATACTATACAGGCGGTTTATCACAATAATGACTATGGTGGTGTAATCGCTCAAACAAATTTTATAACATAATAATGACGATTTCTAAATATATATATATACCTCGCAAAGTCCGGCTTCGGTCAGGCCTATTCACTATAGTACGGTTATTACACAATTATTTTTTGCGAGGTATTGTTGTACATGTAACTATTATACATATGAATTATTAAGTAATTAATAAAAGATTAATTAATAATTAAATTGTGATAATCAAATGTTGTAAGCTTATATGGTAAGATATTGACGATTGATTAATTAGAATAAAAGATATTTGTTATTATGAATGAAATTCCAAATGGAATCATTAAATTTTAAATTCTATTTTGTCTTTCGACGATTCAAACTGTTGGAAGCAACTAATGTGAATTGAAGCTAGATGTATTTTTAATAGTAGGTAATGTTGAACAATGAAAAAAACAGGTAAGATGTTTTTTATGATTAAAAAAGTGCTTTTCTAAAGATTTAAATAAAACAAAAAAAAATTGTTGGAACAACAAAATTTGGGCTAGAAAGGTTTATTTTTCTGCTTACAAAACCATTTTTGTTTAAGACATTTTCATTTAATCGTGTACTATACGTGAAATAGAACATAATTATATCAGGCGTCCCAATTGTTTCTGTAATTGCTATTTTTACTTAACAAATATTAATTAGTATACCTGACAGATATTTATATACCATGCATAGTTTAGACTTTTAACAATTTTTCCAGATTTCAAAAAAAAAGTACAAATACATAATTTAAGTCATAAAATTACTTAATGAATCGATGAAATATGATTTAACAATCGGTGAAATTGAATTTAAGCAATTCATCCCAATCTTTTAAATATTACTCATATGCTAAATATTATCCGGAAATATAATGTTGTTCACATTTTTAATATTCTTTTAATAATTTATATATCTTTAAAATGTTTATAGAATGTAAGTAATAAATTTTATGTTTCAAAAAAGCTGTGTCTCAACGTTTTATTTAATTAATCGAATGCTAATAATTTTAGAAATTATATTGAAGGTAAATAAATTAATATTATTTTGTCTCGTAATACCAAAATTCGAATCTGATTACCTAAAGTTATAATTTATTTCATGATCAAAAAACATAATTGTTGTTTGTAGACAATTTATTATTTGATATGTAGTTATTTATTATTAACATCATTTATGTGATTACTTTATTGATTATAAAAAATAGGATATAAACAATTTTAAGAAAGTAATGTATTTTAATTACTAAATATGTATTGAATAGTTAATATAATTTTATAATACAACGTTTATGTGATAAATCTTTTGAATTTACAGAGGAATTTCTACAAGAATGGTAGCTGGCATGTGGTGGTTTTTCTCTCTGATTATGTGCGCATCATATACTGCTAATTTGGCGGCTTTTTTGACAATGGAAAGAATGGGACCCACAATAGAAAACGCCGAAGATTTGGCCAAACAGACGAAAATCAAATACGGAAGCGTACTAGGTGGAGCAACCGGATCATTTTTCAGGTAAAACTTATAAAAATCATTAATATTTATTTAATTGTAAGAAAATAGCATATGGTAAAGACAAATTGCCTTAATAGAATACTAAAATTTTGATGCGTTATTACAGTTAAACAATTTATGTCGCTGCAAATAGGTGATTAGACCTACTATCATTTATAAACAAATAGAATAACAAGTTTATGAAAACAAATATCTACTCAAGTATTATAGTTTTTATTTGGTTTGAGTTTCAAACTTCTAACATTCTCTGATTTTGTGATACTGTATACGACCTCGTTTAGTGCATCTTCGACTAAAGCTGGTTGGATTTAAAGCGGTTTATTCGGAGCTTAAAAAGCTTTTAATTTGCCTTCAAGATTCGATTTCTAGGAGTATTTAATTAATGTATGAGATTTAGTACACATTTTTTAAATTTATGGTTGAAATACTTTTTTAAATATTAAAAATATTTATTATAACATTTATAAAATTATAAAAAAATAAATTAAAAATCAGGAGAGTCATTTACATAATATATTTTATTTTAATGTAATAATAAAAAAAATGTTATGTATTTAATTAAATATTTTTTAGGAAGTATATTTCATGTAAAACAGTGGTCCCCAACCCCCGGTCCACAGTAATATTATCAAACGTTGATTGGTCCGCGGCGATAAAAAGGTTGGAGAGCACTGATGTAAAACATAAAACTTCGTAACAATTTATCAACTTTTAGAGTAATTATTTCTAAACCAAATTTAATTATGCCGACTACTTCAAGCACATGTATGTAAATGTCGCTCCGTGCAGCTTTTAATTATTCAGCATATTCCTTATCAAATATTTAATTAAACATTTCACAATTATCATTGTACTTCTGTATTCATAATTGAATAGACACATATAGGTCACATGTTCAAAATGTACAAAGTGCTTTATAGAACTATACGTACTTACAGATTAAATACATGTATTAGAGGAATTTTATAATATTTCGTTAATAACCTTTATTTAAATACAAAATTATAAGCTATAACAATATCAATTTGGAATCAATTGACTGCAACTTTTTGCCGATGATTAATTTAAATTTATTTAATAATAATTAATAGTTATTATAATTTATTGGCTAGACAAAACAGAAAAAAACTAAAATATTATAGAAAATTTTATTGTTTTTTTTTAATGGATTGAGTTATAGAAACAGTATATGAATATATCAGAAGAAACAATACTTCTTTGTGTTTTTAATCATCTCATATTATTTTATGGACATTTGTTATTATTAACCAATATAAATTGTAAACATTTTCACTTAAAATCTAAGTGAAACCCGAATTGAAAGGATATTGTTTAATGCAAATACATGTTCATTTTTGGATGGTGACATAAAGCTTTATATAAATATTATATGATTAAATATTTATATAAAGCTTTTAATGGAGAATATGTTATATTTCTTCTAATTGTGTTTGTAATTTACTACATGGTATAATTTAATAAACAAAGAATAATTTAATTAATGTTTGATTACATTTATATAAATCATCCATTAGGAAATGTTTACCAAAGGACCGTCGACTGTAGTTTTTCAAGCTTCATTTTTGTTTTTCAGAGATTCGAATTTTTCAACGTATCAAAGGATGTGGACGCAAATGGAAGCATCGGAACCGAGCGTCTTTGAGAAAACCAACAAGGAAGGAGTGAAAAGGGTGAAAACCAGCAAACGCTTGTATGCTTTTCTGATGGAAAGCTCTTCAATCGAATATGAGATGGAACGAGATTGCGAGCTGATGCAGGTTGGGGGTTGGTTGGACTCGAAGGGGTATGGAATCGCTATGCCGGTCAGTAAGTAAATGTGGATTTATTATCCCATCGGATCACGCGATCTGCCGATGTTTCCAAGTATTGTGGGCAGCTTGTTAGAGAGGAGAGCAAACAGTTTGTCAATTCCTATCGTGTCCTCTTCATCTGGCCGGCAGCCCACGCTAACTGCCAGCTGCCGAACCGATCCAAACCAAACCGAACCATACTACACTATACCACCACGGCCGGCTCCTTGAGAACCTCTCCTCAAGGACTCTCCTTCTCTTTCTCTCCGGGCCTTTTACTATCCTCCTTCATCGCTTCATTGTGGTACCTACGAACAAATACAGCCATTAAAACTCGAAAAACACTTGCACACTCATTTCAAGATTTCGTTAGGCCCAATCTCTTTCCGGTCCAGTTTTCATTATGCCTCGTTATATTGAATGCTTTCTAGGCGCTACGCAGCAGAAAGAGTTGAAGGGCCTTCTCTGGCATTTGTCGGCGTCTCTTTGCATACTAACAACAATCGACCCCTGCTGATCTTTTACGAGAGACTGAGCCGGCCGCATATTACCCAATAAATTCACCCATAGGAAAAATACCAAAGATATTTCCTAAGCGGAGAATTGGCGGATTGACGCGACCATTCCGCGCATTTTTCGTTTGCAATTAACAAATGCCTGTCGTACCACCAAGTGATTGCAAAATTGTTCCCTACCCAAAAAAAAATACAGATTCCCCCTACCGCACGGCCATCAGCGGAGCCGTCCTTAAGATGCAGGAGGATGGGAAGCTGCACAAACTCAAGGAGAAATGGTGGAGAAAAATGCACGGTGGAGGAAAATGCTCGGTAATATTACTTTTACATGCACGCTTTTCGTTTTAAAGTAAAATATTTGCATTTGTACGCTATTTTCACGAATGCAGATAATTAGGGAAGTTTTATATTTACACCACAATGCATACACATTTTCCTCTTCTTCCATACTTTTATTTTTAGTTTCAAACTTATAAAACCAACTCATATTTTACGGTTGTAACCGTAATAATTTCGTATTACGAAAGGTGTAATTTCTTATACTACATATTATGTTATATTATGTTATGTTATATAATTAAATTTATTGAATACAAAGATAAAAATAAGAAATTCATAACATATATTAAACAAATATGCAAATTATTAAAGATAAATTGCTATAATAAAAATATTTATTAAAATAAATATTTTTATATTCTACATGTAAGTGGAACCAAGCTGAACAAGCATAATTCCAGAATTTCCGGATTTTTACTCGTAAAATTAAATACTCGTATAGTGAAACAATTTTCCCCATATAAACTAATGTAAGCTTTCGCTTTTTAATGATTTTACTTTCATAGTTATTTTTAATCAGAGACGTAAGTGTTATCAATTTTTTCACAAATAATATGTCAACACAAGTTTTAAAATTAATGTAGCAAGCGCGCAATTCCGGACTTCTCTTCTCATCGTCACGCGTTATGCGAAACGTCGCTCGTTAAGCGAGTCATTTTACTTACAATTAATTTTGCTCGTATGATTTCTTTTTTCTATACAGTCAAGTATCTTTTTGTGTTGTTTATTTTTAAACAGTGTTAAATACCTCAATTAGTCCGGTTTCAATGAGTACAGTTATTTTACAAAGATTAGAAATAATTAATTTTTTTTAATTTTATTGAATGCGTATCTTTGTAATACATTTGTTATAATATATATATTTATATAGTTAATTACAAAAAAATAGATATTTATATTAATATTTATAATACAGTTTGATATTTGCTCCTTATTATATTGACTCTTATATTTATTATACAACAAACTATACAATACACTAGTTGACCGTAGCATTTTCACTCAATTTATTGTTATTCCATAAAGAGGAGAAACTCTTTGAAAGTTAAAAATTAGTAACGCCGGTTTTTGAGAAGTAAAAGGGTCTCATCTCTGTCAAGAGAATTATACTGTCGGTAAAAAGTTATTTCGGGTAGTGTAATAAAAAAAATTGTCAGACGCAGGAAGCATACATATACATTCATTATGGAAAAATGATTAAAGTTTCTAACTTTTTTCCTTCTTCTTCTGTCCGTGCCCTTCGCCGAAGGAGGCGAGTGGCGTTTTTATGGGGGGCGGCGCGGCACAAACGCTGTCAAAGTTGGATTTACGAGTGATGTATTTATATTCGGCATTTTCGGGAAAAATTGTTAGCAAACAGTGGGTCATTACGGCAAGAGCTGACCCCCCGCTGTACATCCGACAACAAACATTTTAGCAGGACATTTCAATTCCCCCGATGGATCGACGTCGGGAGGATGAAAAAGGGCGTTGCGAAAGTACAACAAAGTGTGCGTTTTGTGAGGTCTCTGTCACGGCGTAGGGCAAAGATGCATATAGAATAGAGAGAGGGAAGGAACGGCGACAAAACGAACACAAACAAAAAAAATACTAAGAAGAAGTGGAAATATGCGTGTGTATGTGTATAAGCAAACATCCCCCGTGGCGAGATAAATATCTCTCCTCCAGCTTTACATTTCCAATTGTGTGGTTGTCGCTCTGTCTGTGTGTGTATGTGTTTGTCAGGATGAGGATGAGGGAGACGCGCGGTTGCAACAAAGCGGAATACTTCACAGTATCATGTTTTCATTTTCCTGAAAAAGGCTCTGAAACACACCGGTGACGATTCTGCAGCGGAGCTGAGCATCGACAACGTGGGCGGGGTGTTTGTCGTCCTGGGAGGCGGAATTGCCATCGCCTTCCTCATCGCCGCAGCGGAATTCATGTGGAACGTCCGGAAAATTGCAGTCAATAGACACGTATGTTGATGGATTCGAAATGGAGAAAGGGTTCAATTAAAATGATACTAAAAACGTCGTATTGCAGATGACAGTAAAGCGGGCGATCATGATGGAGCTGAAGTTTGCCATGAATTTCGCTGCTCGCAAGAAGACCGTTAATGGACGAATCGATGAATCTAATGATATTACTAATGAGGAAAATCAAAGGAACCATTCGAGCACTCCGAAGGATAATTAATTTTAGATATACTAACATTGTTCAATTAACGTATATAATGAGTTCACATTAACAAACATAAATAGAACAAAAATTCACCTTTATATAAAATTTCAAAACATTAATACAAAACGCTCAATTTATATGTTTTACATAATGATATATCAATGCCATTTTGTTTGCACAAATGTACTCGATGTACACTTTGTCGTCTTAAGACGGAAATTGAATCATTTTTATCAAAAATTCTTAAATATCGAAATTTCGCATAATTTCATTTATTTATTGAATTTAAGTATTTTACTGTTTACTGTTGTTAATATTGCGGTATTTTAGTAATAATATTTAATAATAAATCTAATTATTTTAAAAACATTTACATTTTAGTTTTAATTTATTGAAACCACTATTATATGAAATAAATGGATGCAGTGTTGAATAGCTTAACTATTTCATGCCTGAACTAATAGATATGTCATAAATTGTTAGTTCATAGAATAACGGAGTTTGGTTAAAGGATTTAAAAATGAATATTGTCACAACTACTAAAGTATAATACAACTTTTTAAATAAAAGGTTTCTTAACTTTCCTTTCCTATATTATGACTCAACTTTGGACAATTGATCATAGATAATAGCATTGTATCCAATATAATAGTTATACTTTGTATTGATAGTTTGTTGGTAGGCAATAATTATCAGACCACTTTACACAGATCCTACTATTTTATGGATGTATTATAGACAAATTTATTACCCCAATTATTGCTTACTTACCATTTCCTAACTGTACCTTATATAATTTACGTCATTATAATAAATCAATATTACTAGAAGGTCACCTTCCTTTATTCCATTTTCAGAACGTTTACAACAAGGGTAATTTGTTCAAAATATAACGCCTCATAATATATTACTTAGGTAGATAGACTTCAGTCGGTAGCTCTTTGGTCCAAATGCACCATGAATTTGAATAAATAACATACAACTTATTTAATTCAATATTAGCTCCAAAAAATAATTCAAAATTTTATAAATATTTTCCAAATAATGAACTAGATATCCTTATATCTGGAATAATACGTATTTACCAACAAACATATGTGGAAAGAATACCACCATCGCCAAACAACATTTATTGTCTTTTGCTTCCACATATCTATACAAACACTGTTCTATTTGATTTCTTATCTATTTTATTAATATTTTAAGTAATTTTTTAAAATGTATGAGGATGTAATACTTTAATTATATTATTTTTATATTATAATAATACATAAACTATATGCAGACAAATTTCAACGTCGTATTTTGTACATGTATATTAATTAGTGGTGATGATTAGCTTCCTCATATATTCCCCCTTGTACATGCATGGACTGTAGTACTCGTATCCAAGGGATTTACATGATGCTACAGCAACCCCCTTTCATGTTGCTTATTTTAATATTCTGTTAAACATATAATTAGTTTTGTGGAAAATGAGTTTGAATGCGTACCTCGACTTTGTAAAGGCCAAAATCATCATTCACTTCAAATACGCTGGTTATCATTTATGTATGTATAATAGAATTTGTTTATTTTTCTGACTGAATTTTTTGTCTTGGAACATTTTTGTTAGTATTCTTTTTCAATAAAAAACAAATAAATTGAAATGGAGTCACTATCACACTTTTTACAAATATTTTTTTAATCGTCCAAGACAAAAAATATCAGAAATTTACAACTATCGTTGTTTTAATTAACAAAATAACAGAACCTTTTATAATTATTAATGAGATTGGTCATTTTATAATAGAATAATCATTGTTATCTAATAGTTTGGTTGTATTTTAGAATACAAAGATACTTATAAGACATAGATTTATCTTAAAAATAAATTTTATGTATACATAATCTATTGTTGAAACGGTATTAAATTAGAGACCAGGTGAAGCTAGCACTATTTTTATTATACCGACTGACTAAAATTTTTATTGTGTTGGCAAAAAGCAATAACTCTCGAACCCATACTATGCTATTAAATACGCTCAAATAAATAGCTATAAATACTTTATAGTGCCTTTGTAAAAAAAAACAACCGACAAAACGCGCTAACGTTGCTTTACATTTTACCTCTATAAATTTATCAAAATCCAATATTTCATATATATTTAAAATCATATTTGTTTTTGCAAAGTTACTGTTTTTACAATTTAGTAATCTATTAAGATTTTAGCTTACTTTTTATTATTATTTACAGATTAAAGTTTATATTTTAGTTCTCCTACAATCAATGCAATTATTTACTCATAAATACGATTTTAAAGTAATATATTACATAAACAATATCCTTACAATGTTGCCCATATAAGACTATATTTTTTTTTATAAAAGATTGGATATATCTAATAATTAGTGTAATTTGTAGTCAATAATTATTTTAATAAGAGAAATGCAATACTAAAATTAAAGTTTACTTGTTATCAACAAAATAAGGTACTTTCACTTAATGAGTAAAATAATTAATGTAAGATTTAAAAACATGTTTTCACTTAAATTAATATGAATTAATTACATAATAGCTAATTATATTTAAGTATATGGAATAAGTAATTTCGGGATTTCCCGGGAAATTTTATTTATATATTAAACATTTGATACAAATGAGTTGATATTCAATTTTTTTTCAATACATAGAAAATCAACAAAGTGATTTTGTTACAAAAATTTAAAAAAAAAAAACGGAAATTTATTATAATGTTCACCACATAATATAATATAATAATATTATAAAGTATTGTCTTTAATTGATATATTAAAAATAGATAGGTTTTAAAAAATGAAGTCTTTCATGACGAGAAAAATAAAACACACAAAAAAATTTCAATAATATTGGGTTTTAAATATACTTAGTACAATCTCGGGATTTCCCGGGAAATTTTTGATATAAAGAAGTTTTTAAAAACATAGAAAATTAATAAAGCGACTTGTTACAAAAATTAACAAAATAACGCATTATTCACTTCACATAACTCAGGTTTCATTACTTACTTCTACTAAATCACTAAGAATTCCGAATCTCATTATGTATCATGAAAAAATACTGATTAAACAAGTTAAATATACCATAGTCTTTTTTGATATAATAAAACTAAATAATAAAAAAAACTGAAGTCGTCAAAAATGCAATGAAAATAGTATAAGTCAATTTTAATTTAAAAGTTAAATATTTCTAATTATATTTGGTGCTTTTATGATAAATATTATTATTACTACAGCATGTAACCCTGGATAAATACTAAAAAAAACTATACAAACATCCTATTAAATTCCATAATTTCAAAAATAGATTTTATATTCCGTACTATTGCTGTATTTTTGTTAGTGACAAATATTTGTATCTATATTTTGTTGTACATTTGATAAATATTTGGTTGGTGCAATTATCAAGCATATTTAAACAATATTTATTATGAAAAAACAAAAATTCTACAAAAACAGTTTCAAATAACTGCTTTCCATTTGCAATTTATATTTTTATTAACTTTTTTTAAATTTTTATTTTATTTGGTTATATATTACTTAGTAGATAAATAAATAAATAAAAAAATAATTCTATATACAATATAAAGTTTTAAATCTTAAAAATATTTTATTGAAAAGAAAAAAGTGTTTTAATTGTATTATGCATGAGTGATCGGGAAAAGGATAACAAGATTAAGAATTGTCGGTTTGAAACGAGTGTAACAGGATTAAATCTATAATCCAATATAAATCCTTCCCTTGTTTACGTTAGTAGGCTAAAGGTGAGAATCTTTCTCTCTGGATGTGGTAAAAGATGAGGCACGGCGATTGCTTTTATTGAGATTCAGGGGATGGGTTCGCAAAAGGTTTCCGAAAGACGAGAATAGACAGTGAAAAAGGCGGTTTTGAACAGAAGAATTTTAATTCTTCAGTTGGGAATTTGCAAGATAATTGAATTTCTATTGGTGCGGAGCGGCATGACATCAATCATTTTTTTTCGCAAAGGGTCGGGAGGAAGTAACTAGGTAGAAAGGAAAAGAGGTAGTGCAATAAATTTTCCTGCTCCTAGCTACTCAAAAAGTTAATAGGCACTCTTTGAGTTGGAGGTTGCCTTTTTAAAGCGATAGATTTCTCTCATTCTCTTTCTACCTCATTCTTTCACAATTTCGTTTTAGAAAATAAGAGATTAGGATAATAATAGATCATGTAATCTGCAATAAAGTGTAGATGATGCCTTTATAAGCCTGCCATAAATTATGCTTGGTAAGTGGACAGAAGAGCAAAGTACGAAGGAGAAGAGGAAGCGAGCGGCCACACACCGACTCACCACCCACGCCTATCTTAGCAGGGGGCGACTCTTTCACCCCACTTAGTCGGGATTAGAATAGATAACTGAAGCGTCTTCGGAGTCGCTTCATCTTTAGTGGTATATATGTGTGTGTATGCACACACGACTTTCGGCCCTTTTCATCTTTATCCTCTTCCCTATTGATAAAGTCAACCTTAACATCTTACACAATTGCACACATTTTTCTCATTTCAACACAAGCTTACTCGGAATTAGATGAAATTAAAACAGAATGCCAAACCTATTATTTACTGTCCCATTTTATCTATTTCTCCATTATTCCAGTTCGTATTGGATAAAAAGGAATATTCTAAAAATGGAATCCATTGGATATTTTATGTTTGAAAAGTTCCAAGAGTTAAATAAATTTTTCGAAAATATTTCTTTGATGGATGAGTATTTACCAAAACTAAGTGTATCCTGATTTTAGTTAAATTTTATTATTGTTAACATATGAATACTATATATAATCAAATAATGCTTTTACCGACCAATGATAAAAATGTAGAATCGATGTAGAAATGTCCCTCTTTTAATATTCTAAATAATAGAAAAAATAGTATAAACGTTATCAGATCACAGCAGTTGTATAAGTGTTTTTGTATGATTATATTTTTCCTGGAAGAGGGGAATTTTCGTCAGTTGTCAGACACTTAAACTTTCTTCATATTTCCTGTATACTAAATACATGAAATAAGAAAAAATGAATTTTATTATTTTTTTAATTATAGTTAACTATTTATATCTAATAATAATAATTGATAAGTACAACTTAAACTCATACTTACTATGTAATTTGTCGGGCTATGAAAAATAGTAATATTT